ATCCAGTTCAGTTAATGGTTTCAGCCTGACATTTCCTGGGGCCAAGGGCTCCACTCCCAGTAAAAGACACTCAGCATGGGGTTCACCAAAAGGTGCTGGCCTGACTGAGAGGGTCACCTGTGTCAGTAATTTTGTATGGCATGTATTGGCCATTACATCAAGTACAGTGGTGCTTCCTGCATGTATGTGCATAGTTCCCATTACTGTGGGGAAGGGTTGCAATCTAGCAGGATGCAGATGCTATCTTGAGTCTATAGACATTTCATGAGAATGAAAGGGAGCATGAATATGAGTAGTACCAGCCCCTCACTTTATCTGGCATCAGTCCCAATGTCCCATCTGAGGAACACATGGTCCTGTCCAACTCGTTTAAGCTTCTCATGCAAAAATTGGCAGTGCTGGAAACAGTCACTGTCTTTGCAAAGGCAGTGACTATAGTATTATAGTGTAGCTATGTTTATACAGTGAGTAAGGGAGAACTATATTTGGTTTCCAGTAATTCCACTGGAGTATACTTTAGAACTTCCAGGTTTTGACAATATATACACAGATGTAAGTTAAATACATAAATGACTCAAGGATAAATAAACATATTAGTATATGACCTCAGCTGTTGTAATATGTGAGTATGTGTAGGAATACTGCACTCAGTGCAATGACTGTGCACCAAGCTATCAGAAGGCAAAACCACAATTACCCCTACTTCTGTCTATCGCCACCTAATTCCCAAATGATCAGACACTGCAATCATCCATCATTTCAAAACAGATCCCAAATTTCATTTCAAAAGAGATGGCATTTCTGCACATCTACATGAGTTTTTCCTCACTGGCCCACATCATCTTTGTAGCACATCATGCCACTATCTCAGGACTCTGGGGAAGAAGAGACATGACATCACCCCATGGCATTTGCTCCCACACAGACAGGTCACCTGGAGATGCTGGGATGTGTGTGCAGCAGCGAATGTCCATGGGTGGATTCTATCATCTTTCCCACAAAGGTGAGCATGAGGGTCTGTAGACAAAATATGCACCTGGAGAAAGAGACCTGCAGTTGCATTTCTTGTAAGGTAGATTTAGTGTAAACACTGATACTGGTGCTCTCCCCCATATTACGCTGACTTTCTGACCTTAAGAAAAAAGAACTGAAATGTTCACACCATTCTCTCTGTCACTGAACATTGAAGATGCCCAGAAGCCATGAGAGATCAGCTGGAGCTGCTGGAGAGGCCTGTACATTTTTATAGCAAGGACCAATTTGCATATGATCTTTATATAGATGTGGATGAACAGACTTAAAGAATATAAAATGTGTGGCATGGAGTATTTCCTCCTATTCTGCAGGTTGTCTTTTTTGCTCTATGCTGATAGTGTCCTTGGCTATGCAGAAGCTTTTTAATTTGTTCATGTCACATTTGCTTATTTTTGTTGTTGCTGTGATTGCCTTTGTTGTCTGGGGATGGACACCCTTGAAGCTCTGCCTTGGGTGGAATGAAGGCAATATACATAACCTAAACATTTGTACCCCTCTAATATTAGGAAAAACAAAAATAAGAATAACATATATGGTCACTATAGCTGAGCAGTGAGAATTTACTCCATCATGGCAATATTAAAAACAAACTAGATTTCCTTGACCAAAAATGTATACATAAATTAATAAAATGAATATATGGAATCTAAAAATAAAACCAAAGATATGCCTGCAATCTCATGTTCATTGCAGAATTAATCACAATAGCCAAGTTGTGGAGTCAGCCTTACATTTCCATGAACTGGGGAATGAATAGCTGAAATGTGGTGTATATGCATGAGCAATGTTATTCAGCCTCAGAAAATAAAGGGTGTCGGGAAGATTGGAGGGGCAAGGGTATGGGTATATTCACACCCAGTGGGTGCGGTGTGCACCGTCTGGGGGATGGCCAGGCTTGTAGCTCTGATTGGGTGGGGCAAAGGCAATATATGTAACCTAAACATTTATACCCCCATAACATTATGAAATAAAAAAAGATATGTAAAAAATCAAGAAAAAAAAAGAAAATTATATACTTTGCATAAAAGGAAATAAACCTGGGTGGATTTTTTGTAATTGTTCCATTTAAAATTTTTATTATTTTAATTGACAAATAATTCATATATTTAATCTCATAAAATATGTTTTCATATATGTATACCTTGCATATTGATCTTATTAAGAAAACTAGCATATTCTTCATCCAAAATATTTATAATTTTTATCATTTCTTTCTTTCATTTCACAATATTATGGGGGTACAAACAGTTTGGTTATATATATGCCTTTGCCTCACCTGAGCCAGGGCTATGGGATTGCCCTTCCCCCATACAGCATGTTCTTCATCCATTAGTTGTGATTCAACCCACCCCTAGCACCTCCTACCTGTTCGGCACCCATTGATTATATCTACTGTGTGAGCACCTTAGTGCTGATCAGTTAGTACCAATTTGATCATGAGTACATGTGGTGCTTGTTTTTCCACTCATTTGACACCCTACTTTGGAGGATGGGCTCAAGCTCTATCCAGGATAATATAAGAGGTGCTACTTCATCATTGTTTTGTAGTTGTAGAAATTTCGGAATGGTGTTCTCTCCTCTTCCACCCCTTGTCCTATCTGTGTGACCCTTGAAAACACTCTCACCGCGTCCACACAGGAGGGGAGTTGGGGATGAAGTGGACGTTTTCAGGATATCAGTGTGAAACATTGAGACAAGAAACTCCTTGGGTGCATGAACTTTTGAAATTGGCAAGCCCGGAGCCACACACATCCCAGCTTCTTGTTTCATTAGCTTATGATTTTCCTTATTGTGTAGTTATTTCATGTCACTGTTCTTTACCTTTTGCTAAAATAGCCAGATATGATGGTCTAGAGCAGGTGTCCTCAAACTATGACCCGTGCCACATGCCACCTGCCGAACACATTTATCCAGCCCACCGGGTGTTTTTGCCGCTGCTGCCTGTCCTGCTTAGCAGCGGACTCGTCCCAGGCTCATAGTGGGCGTTCTCCAACGGTCTGAGGGACAGTGAACTGACCCCTGTTTAAAGAGTTTGAGGACCCCTGGTCTAGAGGTATTAAAATTAAAAGTAACTGATCTCCTAAGCAGAAGCAGCCCCAGCTGAGGTGAACAGTAGCATGTGGTTCACGGTGTGACAGGAGACGCGGCTGAAAGCTAAGTGTGGGTACAGAGCTATTTTGTCTGCATCAGGGAAAAGTTCTGTATATTTCTTAGATAAGATTCTCATTGGGACCCTTAAGACAGTTTTATTTGTTGATGAATAACACTTCAATAATAAAACTGGAAGTCATGAAGCAGTGATTCATGTTACTGTAGTAAACTTTCCATTAGAATGTCATGCTCAACTGGAGGTAAAATCGGCCCACATGGCAGAAGCCATTGCCCTTCTTAGTGCTTATCAATTAGCCCAAATCCAGGATTAAATGTGTATGTTTTTAGAGTAGTTCTTGAACTTGGGATATTTTACAAACAAAAGAGTTTCTCAAAAGTTCTGGAAAACCTATCAAAATGAACAAAAAGCTAAGGAACTTCTAGATAAACTTCTAAATTCTAGAGACCTGACTAAAGTAAACAGGAATGATACAAAAAAATAGTACAGGAATTAAAGTATTGTTGTAGGAGGTCATTACCCAGAACAAGCAGCCTAAATCTGGTTTGTGATGCCATCTAAGCTGTGAGGCATCACCACTGCTCACATAAAACACCGTCCACTCATTGGAAATCTTCTGAAAATGTTGATCAAATTAGCATTATGAAATTTAAAATGTCACAGTTTTAAGTGATTCTTGAACTCCCTTCACCATTCTACCATTAGCACTTGCTTACTGCAAGTGGTCCACTCCCTCAAGCACACATCAGTTGTCCGTATGACTTGGTAGCTGGAATGATCAAAGATTTTGGTTTTATCACAGCTATTACTAGCATTTTCTGTATTGCATGTGACAGTAAACAATTTTAAAGCAATTCATGTGTTATAGACACTCCTATTACCAACAAATTCTGGCTGCCTTTTACTACATTCTTTTAGTGGTCTCTCATCATGTTCAACCAGGACATAGTGTATTGGAGTAACATCACAAAAATACTGGTCTTGAGCCATCCTGGCACAAATATTATTAAGGAATTTTAAGAAAACACAGCAGTGCAATTCCAGGGAGGAAACTCTTGGGTTCATATTTCACAACTACAGCATCAATTCAGAATTCTAGACACTCGGAAGGCTACTGTGATAGAGATTGTCAAACTGAGCATCCTTGTAGAACCTGTGAAGCTTCTGGCATTTTGAAGCCCACAGCTGACCCATGACCTTCAGGATAAGCTGGTGATCTTGGGCAGTGAAAAGCTTCCACCCATGACATTGGACCAGGACTCCTGTCTAACTCCTCTTCCTACTTATCCTCATAGTATTATGATTTGTTCTTACTAATGATATGTCTTCTATTTTTCTGCAGACCTAATTGTTTTCTACCCATAATAGCCTTTTTCTGCTTTTTTAAAAAATATTCTTTTAAAAATATTTAATATTTGTTGAGTAGAATAAGAAGTCAGGGTCTCTTAGCTGATGTCTGCCCGCTGACATCTTAAGGCCCAACCCTTTAACTCTCCTATTTGTCCCACTCACAGGAATTCTAGTGAGGAATCACAGGTGCTTTATCTCAAGATCACTGTCCTTTTGCTTTGATTCTTCATAATTTTTGAGTTTGTTAGATGATTCTTTCTCATCTAAGAAAGACCAGACCCTGCAAGAACCTACCTGGGGGTGAAAGCCCCTTCTGTGCCCCAGAAGGAAACTTGTGAAAACCCTTATCCAGTCTCCCCTCTTGCTCTATGAAGCCCCTTGGGACTCTCTTGAGAGGCCTGCCCTGCTCTGCAGACACCTCAGTAGTGGAGGAATTAACCTTCCCATGTTCACTTAGTGTGTGTGTGTGTGTGTGTGCGCGCGCCTGTGTGTGTGCATGTGTCCAACACCATCAGAGTCAACATCTACACTAAATGTCGGTGGTGTTTCTCTGCCCTTGAATTGTGTCAGATATAATCGATGTTGTGAACCTGAATCTGGGACACAGATAACCACAGGGTCTTTTCTTAGGATGCTGAGTCCATCTGCCTCTAATCAGAGTTAGTCAGAGAACATCAGAGTTAGTCAGAAGTGTTGATAATTAATGCACATTTGGGGACAGGAGAAAGTGACTGGAAGCCCCTCTCTTCCTTTTGTGTAACTGAGAATATTTTCTCTCATTACCACAAACATATCTAACTCAGAGACTGCAGAGGGAAGCACAGAATCATGAATTCAGAGAAGTTCCCCAGAGGAAACTGTTTTATGGAGAGGAAGCCACATCCCTGAGAGAAAACCAGTCATGCCCCTCCACCTGCACCTGCCCTGGGCTGACACTGCTCATTTTGTCTCGTGCGCCCCCTGCGGCCCTGCAACCCCCGCAGGAGGTTTGTGTCTGGGCTCTCAATGATGTCCCCTCACTGTGTCTGTAGCGCAGTAGTACAGTGCTGTGTCCTCGGCTCTCAGGCTGTTCATTTGCAGATACAGCGAGTTCTTGGCATTGTCTCTGGAGATGGTGAATCGGCCCTTCACAGCGTCTGCATAGTTTGTGCTACCACCATCACCATTAATGTCTGCGACCCACTCCAGCCCCTTCCCTGGAGCCTGGCGGACCCAGTTCATCCAGTAACTACTGAAGGTGAATCCAGAGGCTGCACAGGAGAGTCTCAGGGACCCCCCAGGCTGGACCAAGCCTCCTCCAGACTCCACCAGCTGCACCTCACACTGGACACCTGCAAACACAGACACATTCTGGTCAGAAACTGCCACACACACCCTGTTTCTCTCACTCACATCCGCCCATACACCCAGTGTCTCTAGTTCTCCATGAATTACCTTGTAACAGAGGAACAAGGAAAACCCAGCTCAGTACAGACTTCATGGTGAGTCTCTGTGTTCAGCCTTGATCACCAAATGGAGACACCCGGGAATGCTGGGGCTGGGGCTCCTCTCCCAGAGCTGCAGGGTGAGGGCTGGGCTGGTTTTCATCAGCAGCGGGAGGGCCCCATTTGCATGTCCCCTGCTATATAGCAAGCTCTGGGGTGGGACACCTTCAGGAGAGGGCAGGGCCCCATGACACATGTAAGTTTCCTAGGAAGCTTGTGGAATGTATTGTGAGAAATGTGTTTTATTATTGTGAGATTGATGTGTGATAGACGCTTAGTATACATAATCTTATTTTATTTCTGTACATGGATGTGGATCATGTCATGTAGGTGTCCAAGTTTGCTATGTTTTTCATATGTAAATGTACACCCAGAAACATGAAGGAGCTAAGAGGTGTGTCCAACAGCTCATGTCTGGGCACTTCACTGCTGGACATGCCTGGCCCACGAACCTACTCCACCTGGGAGCTCATCATGCATAATGAGGTTTGAAAAAACCCTTTCTTTAATGAGATAATGGATGGCTCTTTATTCTTGTTTCCGCCCAAATTTTGCAAGAAGTAGTTTCATTCAGGTATCTAGGAGCCTCTGAATTTTGATGTGTGTTTTCCATCTCTCTGTAACTCTTTCTATATGAAATAATACACTTTTGTTTGTGATATGTTCAGTGATGTATAACTGAAATATTATAATCTTCTAAAGTGTACAGTTTGACAAATATTGGCATAACCTTCAGCATGGTAAGGAAGATGTTAAGTGAAAAACCTTCAACATGTGCCATCATATTATTTCACCTGCCCACCCTGCCCTTCTCCCACCAAGTGCACAGTCAATACTGATCTTGCCCAGGGCATTTACATTATGTTCCACTTTATGTCATTGATGGAAGTGGAATCCTGTGGTATTTTCTTTTGTTTTTTGGCTTATTTTACTCATCACATTAACAACTAATTGTGAGTTTATCATGGTGTTGCATGCATAAAACATCTGTGGATTGTAATGGTAGGTAGCATCCCTTTGAATGAATTTGCCATGACTTGTTTACCTATTAGGCTACAAATTGACATTTGGTTTTTTTTTTCACTTTCTGGGCATTTTAAATAAAGCTGCCTCTGAGCTTGGAGAAGTACAAAACACCATCCAGTTAAACTGGAGACGCTTCAAATTAAAATGTTTTATTTAATACATCAGGAAATTGTAGTTAGAGACCACTGTACATGTGCAAGGAGTGGGGGTAGAAAATGAGTTCCTACTTAGACAACCACAACTTACCTGGTCCTTAAATAAGCAAAGGCATTGGTCCTTGATGGCCACATAAGACAGAGATTACAATTCAATGCACCTAAATATAATTATGTATTTAGAGAACTATTATTTTCTAATTATACATATTTCTATTAATTATATCTAGTTCTACATCATCTATTTGTTATATACTAGTAGAATAGATTTGATGGAGGGTATCCAATGGTGATGTTTCATTGAGACAGGAAACCCCTTCCCCAGTCCCTCCCCCCTCTGTATCCAGCTGCCCTGAGGCCAGAACCTGGACAATGCTGTCAGGGGTCCCTGACCCCCAATGCTTGTCCTGCATGCCCCTGAGGAGAAGTTTGTGTCTGGGCTCTCACAGAAGTCCCATTATGTGGTGACATGTCCTCCTCACTTTGTCCAGGACAGTCATACTTAGTGGTGTCCTTGGTGGTCATGGAGCTCACCTGCAGGTAGGACTGGTTCTTGGATGTTGATCAGGACACGCTGACTCAGCTCTTGAGGTACAGGTTGTAAGTTATGCCCCCTCATCATATAAGTTCCTGACCCACACCAGTCCCTTCCTCTGGGATGGGAAGACCCAGCCCCTGCAGTAACCACTGGGTGTGATGGAACATCCAGACACAGCACAGTTTGGGGAGTCTGCTGGGACATCCTGAGTCCTGAGACTGACTCCCAGAGTACACCTGGGACAGGACACCTGGGGACAAGGAGTATCTGTCCCTGTCAATCATGCATTGTCACAACCATCTCCCAGACCTGTGTCTCACATCTGAGACCCTCACCTTGGGGACATAGCACCAGATGAAGAAGGAAAGCCAACAATCTCATCTTTTTCTAGACCACAGCTCTGACTTCCTCAGAGTTCACAGCCCCATCTGAATAGAGATCTGTTTGTTCTCACAACCCCAAAGTGGATTCTGCACTAAAGCCTGACGAGGTATATGCCTGTGATTGAGCCTGTTTTTCTGAATAGAGAGGGACTGAGTTCAGGCTCCCCTAGTCCTTCGGAGCCCCATAGGTCATTTCTTCTTGGGAACTTAAGTGGAGTTTCATGTTTGGATAAGACATTGCTTTTCCTGAGAGGGGTGTTGGTATCAGGTCTAAGGTTAGTCCTACCCCATAAACAAAATGCTGCTACCTGCAATCCCCTCCTGCCCTTTGTTGGCTCCAGGCCAACCTCCCCATCCAGGCAGGCTCTGGGACTTCCCCCTCAGTGGTGAGCACAATGAAGCTCCTACTCTCTTCCTCTTGACCTTTTCTCAGACGTGGGTCTCATCTCCCCTGGAAGCTGGTTACCTTGTTACACTGTTGTCACCTGAGTCTGAGGCATGCCCCATGTTACCTCATTCTCTGCATTGCAATCAGATCGGACATCGTATGGTGAAAATACCAGGTGTCCCGATTGTGCTCATCTATTGCACATGCAAAACCATGCTTTTCTTATTTATTTTATGAAATTGGATTCATATCCCACATAGGGTACCCATATATCTATGGATGGAGAGCAGAAATGGGTCATCCTAGTTCACCTGTCCCAGGAAGGGTTGGAAACTCTGAGGCCTGCTCACCATACAGCTCCTCTGCAGGCAGGCTAAGGCGACTTTGGTGAGATTTGCAAAGGTGATGATCATGGTTACAGGGCAGGCCTGCTCTTCTCACATGCTAAGTGATTTCTCCTATAGATAACATTAATGAACCTCTGGGAAGAGAGTCCATGTTTTCAATTCTACTTCTAAGAAATGTACCTTAGACATGACAATATTACCTGAGTATAAATTGCTTTAGAGAAAAGTTATCACGATTCTTTTGTTTCATCCCAGAGAACATTAGTTCCTTGTCTGATAGTTGAATTTTGGTGTCAACTTGAATGAAAAGGGGATACTGACATAGCTGACAAAGGATTACTTATTCTCAGTGTTTCATAAGGCACTGAACCCCCATCTGTTCAAAGGCAAAGTATATCAGGAGAGACAAATGATATTGGAGGTTATTGGTAGTTATGGGAGATGCAGAAACAGCTGAAAGAGTGAGCTCATGAAGGAAATTGGTTGGGAGTGATGTCTTTGGGTGGTCCAGAGAGAGCTGAAAGACAGGAAGGGATTGCTGAGCAACTGAGGGATTTGACTTGGAGTCTAGGGCTACTCCCAGAAGGCTGATGCAGCATGACCTTCACAGGGAAGGGAGAAGGGAGACAGTGCATTGGAAAGAGATAGGGGATAAAAACTAAGTGATCGTTTTGAAGCACTGTAAATAAGACCAATAGATTATTGAGGACTTATAAAAGATGACAAAGAAGAAGAAAAAAATAGTGATCATTGGTTGGGAGACCCTTGGAATGGGTGATTGGTATGAATGTTGGAAGAGAGCAGTAAGACGTAATAAAAATATTTAAAAAATGATAGAGACAGCAACACAAAAATAATAAAAACTTTTATATCCCACATGTAATGGTGGTTAGATTGTCTGGACAAAATCAATATGTAAATGTTGGACAGAAAAAAATACTCCAGTCCCAAATGGACTGAACACAAAGACACATCCACTGAATGTTACTTCTGTATGTGCACATTTGCATCTTATAAAATTTTGAAATAGAAGAAAAGAAATACAAACAGCACCCCATCCAACCCCAGCAAAATACATTTTATGTTCAGTACACAAGAACATACTCTAAGATAGACCATTTGTGAGCCCACAAAACAAATCTTATAAATTTAAGAACATTAAAATTATACACCTCATATTTTCCAACTAAAATGGTATGAAAATGGAAGTGAATGAAGAAATATTATAAAACTGAAAATATGTGGAAATTAAACCACCCTTTGGAGAACAACCAATGTGCCAAAGAAGAAACCAGTATGGATTTAAGAAAATATTGAGACAAACAAAACTGGAAATACACAAGATGCATTCAAAGAGCTATAAGATGGAAGTTTATGGCAATAAAATTCTACATTAAGAAAACAAAAAATATTCTAAAAAAAACCCCACTTTATACCAAATGGAAAATAGACAAAAAACCTGAGTAACTCCAGAGTTATCATAGGGAAGGGAATAATGTGAATCAGAGTGGAACATACCACCTATCAAGACTGAATCACAAAGACAGAAAAAAGAGCGGAACACTAAGTCATAAATATGTTGAAAGAATAATCAACAACCTCTCAACCAAGGAAATCACAAGATGAGATAATTTCACTGCAGAATTCTACCTAATATTTTAAGGACCATGAGCCATGATGATTCTGAAATTTGCCCACAACATTGAAGAACAAAAAACTACTACTATACTTATTTTAGAAGGCCAGCATTACCCTTATTTTAGGCTGTAATAGGAAACTCTAGGAAATCAAAATTATGAGCCAATAACTTGATGCACTTGATGTGAAAATACTCAAAAATTTTAGCCAACTTTTTTCAATAGTATACGATCATTATTATACCCTAATCAAGTTGACTTTATTCCTTGATGCAAGGAGTGTTCAACATATGCAAATTAATCCAATATATCTCTCTAACAAAATGTGAGATAAAATGATGTGATTATAGCAAAAGACCCACAGAAAGTGTCTGAAAAAAATTTCTTTCATTCATGATAAAAACTCTCAAATATAGTGCTACAGAGAGAGTATCTCAGCATATTAGAGAGCATATATACATATTTATAGATTATATTATACCCAAAAATGAAAAATCGATATATTTACCAATACAATTAGGAAATTGGTAAGGATGCCCACTCTCACCATTTTTATTCATCTTAGTACTTAAAGTAATAACTAAAGAAATTAAGAACAAAAAGAAAAATGACATTAAATTAAAAGAAGTAAAATTATCTCTGTAAATGTTATGATAATTTTGTATGAAGAGGTACTATATTATCTATATTTTCTTTATCATTTTACACATAGAAAACCCTAAAGACTCCACCAAAAACATTAGAAGTATAAAGTCAGTACACTTGCAGTATATATAATCAACAAACAAAATTGTGTTCTTTCAACAAACATAGCATTCAAAAAGGAAGTTAATAAAACAATCTCATTTTCAGTAGCAACACAAGTAATAACATTTTTAATGAATTTAACACAAAATCAAAATATTATTATGATCAGAAAACAGTAAAAATGAATTTAAATATGAAAAATTTAAATGGAAATATGTCCTATGTTCATGGATTGAAAAAAATTGATATTGTTAAAATGTCCATAGACATAAAGTAATCTCCAAAGAAACTGCTTTGAATGCCTCAATGACATTCTTAAGAAAAATAGAAGGAAAATGCTAAAATTTATGGAGAATGACAAAAGATCCCAAATAACCAAGCAAACTTGAGCAAAAAACCAAAGTGAAAACATCTATGTACTAACTTTATATTGTAGTACACAGCCATAGTAATTGAAAAACATTGCACTGGGGTAAAGGGGAAAATACTGAGACCATAAGAATGTAAGAAAGACCTCAGAAATGAACTTACCCAATACACTCAGCTAACATTCAATAAGAGAAAGAATACTCAACTGGGAAAGCATGGACTCTTAAATGAATTATTTTGAAAAAATTGGATATCTAAATTCCCCAGACTGAAACTGAACCCCTATCTTACTCCATACATAAAAGTTAACACAAAATGGATTAAAGACAAACACAAGATCTAAAAACATGAAACTTATGGAAAAAAAAATAGGGGGCAATCTCCTTGATGTTGCTGTTGGCCACAATTAATTTATGGGTATGACACTAGAAGTACAGGTAATAAAAGAGCACATAAGCAAAGGGGGAATCATCAAACTAAAATGTTTCTGTTCAAGAAATAAAATAAGTATTAAATGAGAAGGTAACTAAAAATGGGAAAAATTGCAAAAAATATGTCTGACAGGGGTTAATGTATTTTATGTATATATGTGAATAAAGTAGCATAAGAATAATAGTGATAAATAAATACCAGGATTAAAATGTGAAAATTCCTGGGAATATATATCTTTATTTTCTTTAATTTTTATTTATTTCAACATATTATGGGAGTACAAATGTTTACATTACATATATTGCGTTTGAACCCCCCCGCAGTCACAGCTACAAGCATGTCCATTCCCGAGACAGTGTACACTGCACCCATTAGATGTGAATATACCCATGCCCTCCTCTCCCCTCACACCTGCCAAAACCTGATGAATGTTACTTCCATATGTGCACAAAAGTGTTGATCAATTAGTACCAATTTATTGGTGAATATATGTAGTGCTTATTTTTCAATTCTTGTGATAATTCACTTTCAAGAATGGGCTCCACCTCAATGCAGTATAATACAAGACGTGCTTGTTCACCACTGATTTTGGTAGCCAGTTAGAACTCCATGGTATACATATACCACATTTTATTAATCCACTCATGTATTGATGGGCACGTGATTTGTTTCTACATGTTTGCAATTGTGAATTGTGATGCTGGAAACATTCAAGTACAGATGTCTTTATTATAGAATGTAATTTGTTCCTTTGGGTAGATGCCCAGAAGTGGGATTGCTGGATCAAATGGTAGTTCTACACAAGGTATCGCCATATTACTTTTTATAGAGGTTGTAATAGTTTGCAATCCCACCAAAAGTGAATGAGTTTTCCTATCTCTCTGCATCCATACTTCTCTTTTTTGTTCTGAGTCTTCATGATAAAAATCATTCTCACCGGAGTTAAGTGATATTGTGGTTATGATTTGCATTTCCCTGATGATTAGAGATGTTGATCATTTTTTCATATGTTTACTGGCCATTCTTCTGACTTCTTTTGAAAAGTTTGTGTTCACGTCCTTTGCCCACTATTTAATGGGGCTGTTTGTTTTTTTTATTGCTGATTTTTCTGAGTTCTATAAAGATTCTAGTTATTAGCTCTTCATCAGTAGTACAGCATGCAAATATTTTCTCCCATTGTGTAGGTTGTCTATGCTCTAGTATTAGTTTCTTTGTCTATGCACAAGCTTTCATATTTGACCAGGTCCATTTATTTATTTTTGTTGATGCTGTGATTATCTTTGGGGTCTTCTTGATAAATTCTTTGCCTAGGCTAATGTCTATAAGAAAATTCACAACATTTTCTTCTAGAAATATTATAGTTTCCTGCCCTAGGTTTAAGTCTATTATCCACTGTCAGTTGATTTTTGTGGGAGGCGAATGATGCACATTCTATTTCAGTCTTCTATATGTGGTTATGCAATTTTCCCAGCACCATTTATTGAATAAGGGTTGTTTTCCCCAGTGTATGTTTTTTTCTGCTTTGTCAAAGGTCAGATGGCAATATGAGAATGGTTTTATATCTGGGTTCTCAGTCATGTTCCATTGGTCTATGTCTCTGTTCTTGTGCCAGTGAATTGCTGTTTTAGTGACTATAGGCTTGTAGTACAGCTTGAAGCCTGGTAAATTGATGCCTCCCAATTTGTACTTTTTGCTTAAAGATGGTTTAGCTATACAGGGTCTTCTCTGATTCCATAAGAAGTATATAATTTTTTTCCCACATATGCAAAAATGATATGGTATTTTAAAAGGGACTGCATTGAATCTGTAGATAACTTTGGGAAGTATGAACATTGTAACCATGCTGATTCTGCTATCTGTAGACATGGTGTAGTTTTCCATATGTTTATGTCCTCTGCTGTTTCCTTTCTTTAGTGTTTCATTGTTGTTCTGGTGGAGATCTTTTGACTCTTTAGTTAAATATATTTCTAGGTATTTTTGTTGTTCTTATTTTGAATGTTATTGAGTCTTTGATTTGGTTCTCAGTTTGACTGTTGTTAGCATATATTACTGCTACTGATTTGTGTATATTGATTATGTAATCTGAGCCTTTGCTGAACTTATTTATCAATTCCAATAATCTCTTAGCAGAATATCTGGGGTTTTCTAGATACAAAATCATATCACGTCCAACAACCAAGAGTTTTACCTCTTCTGTGCCCATTTGGATGCCCTCAATTTCCTTTTCTTATCTGATTGCTCTGGATAGGACTTCCATCACTGCGTGCAGTAGAAGTGGTGATAGAGGCAACATTGTTGGTCATAGTTCTAAGAAGATATGCTTTCATTTTCTCCCCATTCAGGATGATGGTGGCCATGGGTTTGGTGTATATGAATTTTATCTTTTCAAGGTAAGTCCCTTATATGCCTTTTTCATTAAGCATACTTATCATAAATGGGTGCTGAATTTATAACTCCTTTTCAGCATCTATTTAAAGTATCACATGGTCTTCATTTTTACTTGTATTTATGTGGAGATTTACATTTATCTATTTGCGTATGTTGATCCATGTCTGCATATGTGAGATGAAGCCCAGTTGGTCACGTTGGATTATTTTTTTGATGACAACCTGAATTTAATTTGCTAAGATTTTATTGAGAATATTTGCATCTATATTTTTAAAGGACATTGGTCTGTAGTTTTCTTTGTCTGTTGAGTTCTTTCCTGGCTTTGGTATGAGGGTGATGTTGGCTTCATAAAATGTATTGGGAAGGATTCCTTCTTACTTGATGTTGTGGAATAATTTCTGCAGGATAGGCACTAGTTCTTTGTAAGTCTGGGTGAATTCAGGTGTGAAACCATATGCTCAGGACTTTTTCATTAGGAAAGTTTTTATAGCTGTTTCAATTTAGGGGTTCAGTGCATTCAGGGCAATCTGCGTGATTCCAGAGCCCAGTCACTGTGGGTGGACTAACTCCTTGAGAGATGGTGTGAGATGACCAGTATGCCGATTTTTCTATATCTATTTGTTCATTCTCCCCTTACCTTCCCCAATCCGTGGCTGCTGAAAGTGACAATTTACCCAATACACAGAGGCATCTATAGATAACGAGTCACAGACCTTTCATTTTGGGGTCCTGAAATGGACTGAGGGGTGCTTGGACTGTGAGCTCCTGGGCCTCTGGCCCTCTCTGGTGCTGATTATCTGGTGACTCCAGAAGAATATGGCAAACACCAATGTAGAGGACATTAAACCAGCTTGAACACCTCTTGACAGAGACTTGGGATCAGTATCCTTCTGCCTGGCATGCTTAAAGTTATATATCCAGGGCCTAGGGATGGACCCGAGGCCAGATCCTGTACACCAGGGCATCTATTGCATTGCCTGCGGGGACATTGTTGACATTTGTGAATTACTCTCATGAGGTGTGGGTGCCGGCAGGGGCAGATAAGGGGTGAGAATGCAGAGTGGGTCCTAGCTGTGTTGTGCTTGTGGGGCACTGCTCCTCCCATGGAAGGACTATACTCCAAGCTCAGGCTGGGATTCTAGGCAGTGAATCTCCCAGCTAGCTTCACAGTCCATGGGGGAGCTTGGCTGACTTGAGGTCCTGCCTGCTAGCAGAAACCCAGAGAAACCACAGAATAGGGGAGGATGGTAAGTAAAAAGGCACGCTTCAGACTGCCAGACTGTGGGTCTCACACAGCTCCCACTTCCATAAAAGGATTTTTTTAAAAATTGGGGCCATGTCTGCTGCCACCCCCAGCCCCCAGAAGCTTTGCCCAGTGGTCAGGAACAGAAATTTAACCCCTGATAATAACATTTGTGGAGCTTGAGGCCAGGCTCATGCAACCCAGCCCTGCCCAACCTCTCACACCCACCTGGCCTGCTGAGGTGGAGGATAAGGACACACCTGGAAATCTGAGGATCCCACCCAACTCCAGGGGCATCACAACACTTTTCCTGAGGAATTAGAGGTGGTGGCAGGACCAAATAAAAATATTGCTGGTTACTCCTCCTAGGTACTGCCACCTACTGAGAGGGAGGTCAATCTGCACACCCTTTTACTGCATTTAATGATTTGTAAATTAGTAAATGACATCATATAGATTGTGTCCAATTCTCACTCACAAGCACCACCTACTTGCTGGAGGATTAATCTTGGTGTATCATCATCTAAACCAGCGGTCCTCAAACTTTATAAACAGGGGGCCAGTTCACTGTCTCTCAGACTCTTGGAGAGTGCACACTATGGGCCTGGGACGAGTTGGCTGCTAAGCAGGACAGACAGTGGCAGAAAAAACACCTGGTGTGCTGGATGAATGCCTCAGCGGGCTGCATGTGGCCCGTGGGCCATAGTTTGAGGACCGCTGATCTAAGCAAACAACCAATCAAACAAACTCCAAATATAAAAAGCAGAAATTAATGAAGATCAGAAAGAATCATCTAACAAACTCAGGAATTATCAAGAATCAAAGCAAAAGGACATCCAGGAAAGGGGATACTAGCTCTTTAGCAATGAATACCACCAAAATCAGAACACTGAAATGACAGATGAAGACAGATTTGAACATGGATTTTAAGAAAGCTCAATGAAATGCAAGATAAAATGTAAAAACAAAACAAAGTGACCACAAAAACTATGCAGGAAATGAATAAAAATTCTACTAAAGGAATTAAAATATTAAAGAAATATCAAACAGTACTTCTGAAAATGAAAACTCTATTCAAGAAATCACAACGTACAATGGAAAGCCTCAAGAAGAGGTTATATAAAGCAGAAGAAAGAATCTCAGGGCTTGAAGACAACATTTTTCAATTCAACATGTCAACTACACAGATACAGAAGAGAAGTAAGAGAAAAGAGAAAAGGCTTCAAGAAATGTGGGAATATGTGAAAAAGCCTAATGTCCAAATCTTACACATCCATGTGGGTGAAGAAGATAATACACAAGGTTGTATAATCTATTTGAGGGAATAATTGAGAAAAATTACTCTGACCTTGCTTGAAATCTAGATATCCAGTTACCAGAAGCTCAAAGGACTCCTGGGAGATTCATTGCAAAGAGAAAACACCACAACACACAGTCATCAGACTAGCCAAAATAAACATGAAAGAGGCCCTCCTATGAGCCATCAGCAGTACTCAGGCAACAGTCACCATGAGCTTTTTGTGAGACTGAGGTGGCTTCAAGTGTTACCTGGTGCAATCTGAGCTACATAGGCCATGAGGGATTGTCCCCATCTTTCCTCCCACTACCACACCATCACTGCACAGACAGGAATGGCAGAGGGTGAGAGACTTTGCCTGACAATGCAAAGAGTTCTCCTGCGTCTTACCCAAGTGCTTCAAGCAGTACCATCAGGAGTCTGCAAGAGTCACAGCATGAATGTGCCTGGGGTACCTCCAGTGGTGATACGGCTGTAGTGTCCAAAGATTTAAATCACACCACTTGATTCCCTTTCAATATCTGAAAAGACTTGTGAAGAAGAATGGGTTAAAATGAGCACAAACTGTGATGATTAAAAAAGTACCTAACTCTTCAATGCCCAGATATTGACAAACACCCACAAGCACCAAGAACATCCAGGAACACAAGATCTCACTAAGTGAACTACACAAGGCAGCAGTGTCCAATCCTGGAGTGATGAAGATTGTGACCTTTCAGGTGAATAATTCAAAACAGAGATACTGAAGAGTCTCTGTGAACTTCAAGACAACACAGACAAAAAACTAGAAGCCTATAACATAAAATTAACAAAGAGATTGAAATAATTTTTAAAAATCAAGGAAATATTTCAGAGCTTAAAAATACAACTAACTAAATGAGAAATGCATTGGAGTCTCTCAATGGCAGAATTGATTAAGCAAAATAAAGTAAGTATTAGTGAGCTTGAAAACTGGCTATTTAAAAATACACAGTGAGGCCAGGCATGGTGGCTCACACCTCTAATCCTAGCACTCTGGGAGGCTGAGGAGGGTGGATTGTTTGAGATCAGGAGTTCTAGACCAGCCTGAGCAGTAGTGAGACCCTGTCAAGATCAGGAGTTCTAGACCAGCCTGAGCAGTAGTGAGATCCTGTCTCTACTAAAAATAGAAAGAAATTAGCTGGATAACTAAAAAATATATATATATATTAGTTGGGTATGGTGGTGCATGCCTGTAGTTCCAGCTACTCAGGAGGCTAAGGCAGGAGGATCCCTTGAGCCCAGGAGTTTCAGGTTGCTGTGAGCTAGGCTGATGCCATTGCACTCTAGCCCAGGTAACAGAGTGAGACTCTGTCTCAAAAAAAAAAAAAAAAATACACAGTGAGAAGAGAAAAAAGAAAAAAAGAATAAAAGGGAATAAATTACAGTGACAACATCTGGAAAATAGCCGGAAAATGGCAAATCTAAGCATTATTGGCATTAAGAGGAGGTAGAGAGAGACTCCTCAGAAAATATAGTCAAAGAAATAATACCAGAAAACATTCCAAACTTAGAGAATGATATCAATATTTGGGTACATAAGCCAAGTCTTAAAATACTCGAACATATTAAAATCACATAAAGTGTTTTCCTTGACCACAATGGAATACAACTAGAAGTAACTAACAAGAAGATCACTGGAAACGCACAAACACATAGAAGTTAAAGAACATGCTCCTGAATGACCAGTGGGCTGATAATGAGATTAAGAAGAAAATTTAAAAATATAAAAAATGAAAATGAAAGCAGAACATATCAAAACATATGGGATAAAAAAAAAACAGTAATAAAAGGAAATGTTATGGCAATAACTACCTACATCAAAACAGTTGAAACACTTCAAATAACCTAACTATACATCTCAAAGAACTAGAAAAATAAGAGCAAATCAAACCCAAAATGAACAGAAGAAAAAATAATAAAGATCAGAGTAGAAATATTCATTCTGTGTTTTAGTGCAGCATCATCAGACTTGACACCCACACTAAATCTCCACCTTCTCAAAGTGTCAGCTAGGATACGTGTCGTGAGCCTGAGGCTGGAATGCTGACCACCATAGGGTCTCCCTTCTCAGGCTTAGGATGCTGACTTCTTATGCCCCGACATGCAGTCAGCACTTTATTCTGTTTGCTGGGTAGAAGCAACTTTCACTTCCATGTGCTGTGCAGCATTGTGTTGTACCAGACAAAATCTTTTATTGATTTTCGGACTTACTCTCAAGGGTTGATAATTAATTTAAGTCAGGGACAGGACAAAGCAACTAGAAGCCACTCTCTGCCTTTTGAGCAGGTGAGAATATTTTCTCTCATTACCACACATATATCTAACTCAGAGACTGCAGAGGGAAGCACAGAATCGTAAATTCAGAGAAGTTCCCCAGAGGAAACTGTTCTGTGGAGAGAAAACCACATTCCTGAGAGGAAACCAGCCTTTAAACTCCACCT